TGCAAATTGAACTGTGACATTTTGGTAAATTGACCGTGTTCCACAACGTGCTGATGCAACGGGACTATGTTCCGTTTGAATTCATGGCTACCCGCATGATATGATATGAATTTTATTCAGTACAATGGTCTCAGGCTTATGGTACAATTAAACAAAAATAGAAAAATACATACAGAGGGACTTTAAACAATTGTTGAATCAAGTAGTCACAACTGGTTAAGTCTCTATGTTTAGAAGCGTAGAATACAAACTTTTTTATTTGAAGTACAGATAAGTTGTCAAACTGCATTAAACGAAGACATTTTTCGTAAGTCTGATTTGACTGATAAATTATATATTTTCATAACATGGACATTCAAGGCAAAAATGGTATTTATCCACAACCAACCCTAAATTACATAATTTACAGATTCTCATATTCCTCGGTATGTTTAATTTACGATCAGATTCAACCCGAAGGTTGTGGGATGATGTTCTAAAGCTGGCATAGCGCAGAACGTAACTTGTAATCTTTTATTAAATGCAAATATTTTTCACATCCATAATCGATCTTAAAATCTCTGTATTTATCGAGTTTAGGATAGTTGTTGAGATCTGTAAATCATGTTTGTTTATACCTATCATGAACTCTTTGGGTGAATAAAGACAAACAGTTATCTTCCACGCCTTGGTTTAACAATTATAGTAGTACCAATAAGCCATTTTCCAAATATCAGTAGTCTAGAAAAAATATACTGACAACATTGATGGAAGCAGAACATCACAAACCCCCACAAGGGAGTCAGACAAGGTGCACGTGAAGGGTAAGCATCTGCTGCTGGCATGCTACACCTGTCGTGATGTTCCAAGGATGTCAGGAAAAAATGTCAAATCAAGTATATATAACCAAACAAAACCAAAACCGTGCGAAAATAGTAGTCCTTTGACTTGGAAAGTCCAAATTTACGGTTGTTTTCCGTTTCTTTTTACTGGAAAAGGTAACATTGGTAAACATAACGCTGTGTTTGCATTTTTAAAATTTTCATCCAAATTTTAATAATACGTATGTAACGCAATGGATTTGTTGTAGTCATCCCTCAAATTACTGAACATGATTCAAAAATAATTATTAGCGGGACATGGTCGATAGGCTCAGTCCATGCTTGGAGCCCTTTATTTTAGCTCCATAGTCCACGTCTTCTGTTTGGGAAATAAACAATAATTATAACGATCAGGAATGGTAACCTGGAAATTACAACGATATTGACCATGCAAATCAGACAGTCATACCATACTTTCGTTGAAATATATTTTTGTGTCAGTATGGGATGTCAGAATAAATCAAATATTCCATCCCAGACCAATGTTAAAAGGATTATATTGCGTATAATTATATATAATTAATATCAAAAAGGTATTTGAACTTTAACGTCTGTGAACACCAGGAAGAAACATAAATCATGGTGAAACGCAGAACATTATTGTAGTCTGAATTTAAACTGCGAGCAAAGGGCGGTGTTACAATCCGGACCGACTCGACGATTATTGCATATTTATCGTAAAGGTCATTTTCTCTCGGTCAATGAATCCAGAATCAATTGGGTATTACTATGTTATTTTAGAGTAGTTTTTCATGTGATAGTTGGTCTAGCATTATCATATAGCATTACAAACAGGCAGTCACCGTGGAAGGTCGGATGGTTTCCAGACTACTCGTTTTGATGAATGATCTGGAATAGTCACAGTGTGGCTTGTTGGTAAGAATAATCCTACCATCGCATATCATTAAATTGTGTACATTCGCCCTCCGCTTTTAATGATCTGTATAGAAACATCTTAATCAGTTTTGTTCCAAAAAATGAGTTTACCAGTCCCCATCATAACTCTCCTACAGTCCTTTGCACACAAACCCGGAGTAAAATTGTTGCCCACAAGGCCCCAAATTAACAGGGTGTAAATCACAAATCACAAAAGAAATATTTGCAGAAATGTTCACATGCACAGCACTATAACAATGCATGGCATGCAATCGCACAACAAGTGATACTCGCCTTTTATAACTTTTAGCCGACCTCAATTAATCAACGAAAGTTACCACTCAATTTAGCTGACCCCACGTGCCGAACTGGACAGGGCGTATCCCACTCATGAAAAAACGAGAGAGATAAGTAGGAATTGAGAGAGAGAGATGATTCGTTTAGAAAGTCTTATACAAAATAAGGCAAGACTGACACACTTATTCGTATGTCAGTAGCTGTGTGGCATGTAGAAATAAATATATATCGGAGCCGCTGAAGCCCCTACGTTGAACGTTGAGTATATACGACATACCATGTATGGTAATTGTGAAAATATAATTCACAGCAGATGGTGTAATTACTACAAGAATACACGTCATCAAGTCAAACCTTTATATTGTTTAATAGCAGGTCAGCAGGTCCAATCTGGCAGTTGTGTGTTTGCTTCTGAGTTGCAAGTAATTTCAACATTATATTTCCGTCAATTAGTGAGTCAATAATGATGTTGTGTTGGGTAGTGCTCATTTTAATGGCAAGCGTCACTCTTGCAGCTCCACACAAGGTAGGCTTACATTTTATTAGACACTTGATTATCTATACAATATATGATGCCTAAATGATGGCGGTGAATTGATATATGTAAACACATTATATATTACAATGTGCAAACTCGTAGGGCCATAGTATGCAAGTAAAGTCAATATGTTGTGTATCCTCAAATAACATGTTTTAAAATTCAAATATTGTAAACCGTCCAAACAGCAGTTGAAATCTCACAAATTGAACAACACGGATTATAACTTCAACAGTATACTGAATGACATACTTTGTAAGGCAAACACTTCAAGCTGTGTCAATTCAGTTTAATGCTATCATGGAAAGAATATCATTGGTTTAAATCTCGTGGTCGGATGTAAACTCATATAAGAGAATAACTACTGTCCGCTCACACAATTCGAAATTGAGCGAAAGCTGCCACCGATGGCATCTGGAAACACATATTAATAATGTAGCACTGTAGCACTTTCCTGTAACTTCTGGATGGTTTTGATTTTGTCTTTTATGAGATTTTGTCTAGCATAGTGTTTGAGAAAAATATTTTCAAATATTGCTTGTTACTAAATATGAATCGTTAGTTAACATTTTAAAATAAATCAGTTGCCATAGAGTATCAATACAATTGCACTCACTAAAAATGTCACTTATAGTTTGCCAACTTACGACAAATTCTGATAAACTACTTCTACACAAAAGGAAGCTGATTCAAGACCCTCAGCTCTTTGTTGAAATGTGTGTGCCATGCAATATATGTAATGCTATTATTTATACATTACCATACTGTGCAATGAAATAAAGTCATTTATGTTATTTCAATTGAACTTTTTCTATACCCTTTTTGTCATTGCTTCAAGGTGCAACACATTCGATTGATGTCGTGTTTTTTTTTCAAAATATGTTAGTGGCCATGCTGATTAGTAACATTTGAGTAATTTGGTTTGTTTGCCCAAGATTGAAAAGAGTACAATTTGATGTGGTGGCAGGTGTTATCATCATTTAAGTAAATTGATATATGTAGGATTCAGTATACTCACTGTGGCGATTATACGAAAGACACAAACACAGTTTATAAAACTAGGCCAGTTACGCCCGTTGTTATTCATTAATACTATATTATAATATTGGTGTTCATGGTTGTTGTTTACAGAAATTGGTTGAAAGGCAAGTCGGTGAGTGAGATTTTTAAAGGTGTGAAGGTGTTCAACGAGGTTTACCAATAGTTTATATAATTAACAAACTATTACTTCCATGTAATTTGTAGATAGATTATTCCATTTGTGGACAGACCATGTTATTTGTAAATTGCCCAGAACTCTTTTTGTGTTTTGAGTCGATTTTCATTTTTCATGGATGTAGCTGGCAATTAATAAATATGTTTCCATACTGTGTGAACAGCTCTTCACGTGAATCAGTAATGTCCAAACACACACTGATTTGTTTTACTATTCATTTAGGTCGATCGGCGCAACCGCAATACGAACTTGTCGGTTGTTATAGAGACACATCAGACAGAGCCATACCAACACTAGAAGGCACTGATATACGACTTGATGGGAATTATGGGACTCGTGCAAATCCAATACAAAAATGTGCTGAGGTAGCAAAAGATTTGGGTTATTCAATGTTCGCAGTGCAGAACGGAGGATGGTGTGCTTCAAGTGCAGATGCAGCAAATACTTATAATAAATATGGAACATCTTCGGCATGCACAAAATGGTGAAGGTGGAGGATGGGCAAATGATGTATATAGACTGATATATAATGTAAAAATCTGTTCATATAATTCCCTAATTTACACC